AAGGGTAGATGTAAATGGAAGGCTTACAATTCTATGAGATTATCATGGCTACATTTCCTGTGAAGCTGCCATTCACTGAGGTATTCCTCTGAGATTGGCATTTTCTCTCTGTATTTACCCAGTTTGTGTTGAATGAGCCAACATCGAGATTGGTGGCTTAATGCCAAGGTTTGGTAAACAATTGTTCCCCTGTTTGTGGGCTTATTCATTTATTTCTGAGTGTTCTCTGCCAGAATCTGTCCTATCAAGTCCCTTAGAGGGAGGCCTAAAATACGCTTGCACTCTGCATTTTAGGCAACTCCATTAATTCATCGCTGGTGTCATGGCAAGCTTTCGCACAGGGATTGCAAAAATCTTGATTATGCAAATGTGTTGTCGTGTATTTCTTAACAATATTCTGGTACAACTTGCCTTGACTCATAGTAGTTTATCACACAACCGTTCACAGACAGATCCATGAGGTTTCTAAGTGTGCTTGGTTCTGTTACTGCGGCAACCTGCCCCAGTGGATTCCTCAGATATAAACTTCACATCTGAGCGACACAATGTGTGCGTGAAGGGGAGGACTGTTTTCCAGAAATACAATGTTTGGGTTGAAGCATCTGACAAAGGGACGTGAAGAACCAGAACAATATGGGGTTTTTAAATTAGGTCTTTAAATTCAAGATGACACTTGAAATACCACCCTCTTTCTTACGATCTGGTGCTCTTTTTTCTTTTTCCAGAAACTACAAGCGTCCCTGTGCTAAGTCTCAGGATGCAAAACAGCTGAGCGGCACAGGGAAGTTTTGTTCCCTACTCCATAGCCATCCTGTTGAACAGGGCACTCGATCGAAGCAGGGGAGGGTTTTAGCAGTTGAATGAAGCCACTTAACAAAATGTTTCATGGGCCTGGGAGTTGTTAGTTAATGAGATAAATTCCCCTCGTATGGCAGCTATTTCCTGGGAGTTTTTGGCCCTTATGGAAGCAGTACAAACTCTTTCAGGCCGTTAGGGTTCTGCAGAATTATTTCATGCCCTTGTGGGAATTACTTTATCATTTTAAATCAGAGATCAGCAAACTTTTTCCATAAAAGGCCAGATAATAAATATCTTCAGCTATGTAAGCCGTATGGTCTCTGTCACAACTATTCAACCCTGCCATTGTAGCAAAAATCAGTCAGAGATAATATGTAAATGAATGGGAGTGTCTCTGTCCCAATAAAATTTTATTTACAGACAATGGAACTAGGATGCCATGTAATTTTCAGGAATTACTAATTAATGTTTTTTTCCTATATTTTTTTCAACCATTTAAAATCTATTCTTAGCTCATGTGTCAGATAAGGACAGGCAGTGGGCCATAGTTTTCCCATCCTTGCTTTAAGCCAATTGACTGATAAAATAGAAGTACCAACATAGTCATCAGCTTCCCTCATTTACCTAATCCTTAGCAAGCCCTCAAAAATGTCAGCTATTACTGAAATAATTAGTTGGGACCCGTTTGGGAATGCAGGTCAGCACGTAATTTTTCTATGCATAGGAGGAATGCTGGTAAACTCAGTAGATTTGGTGGTGGGGTCAGAATTGATTTCTCTGACTTCCCACTTCCTAGAAAAGCTTAGGGGTCTGAACTAAAATTGTAGAGTTTTCAATGTGAACTCTGAAACCCCTTGGCTGCGTGGTACCAACCGCTGCCCCCGCCCACCCCCACCGCCCTGATATACTAACCTTCCCAGTGCTGCGGGGAGACAAGTCTGCTCTCTGGTTTGCCCGTCATCCCTGGAAGGGTAACTTTCAGAACAGACAGAAGAGGAAAAGCTACCTCCAGAGCTTGGGTGATGGCAAGTAAGGATTTTCTTTTCTCTTCACCCTGATCCACTAACTTGCAAAGATCCTTTCTCTACCAGGGAAGAGGATGAGAAGCTAGTGTGGCACTCAGGCCCCTAGTTGTAATTTTATGTGATAAAGGTGCTTCCTAGACAGAGGATACCTTGATAAAATGAGGCCAGGGCTGCTTTTCCTCTATGCTTGATTGTCTAATAAATTTCATTTTATTCTTCCCTGTCATTTTCCTCCTCGGTTCTGTCTCCTTCCTCCCATTTTTCCTTTCTCCTTTCTGCCTTTTGAAGTCATGATTTTATATTCTGATGAGTTCTACACCCTTCCCACTCCAAGTGTGACCCTATGCAAAAAGCGACAGAAGCACTGGGAGCTTTTCAGAAATGTGGGATTTGAGGCCGCACCCTAAACCTACTGAATCATAATTTGCATTTTAACAAGATCTCCAGGGTGTGCACTGTAAAGTTTGAGAGGCCCAAGTCCTTACAATACCCTCATCGCTCCAGTGGAAAAAAAAGCTCAAGACAAACCTCAGGCTTAAATAGATTCCGGAGGGAAGTAAAAACTTGACCTTCCGGAGATTATTCATATCTGAGGAGAAAAATGGAGAGTAGTAGTCAAACTTTAAAGGGAGCAAGTGACAGCCCTGCTTGGGTGAGCCTCGAAGGATTTTTCCCTCTAGCAGTCATCCAAGTGGAAATAGGTTATCCAAGACCAGAACAGGATAGTTAACGACACAGAGCCTGGAGCCTTAGAATAGCACCCCAGCTCCAGTGAAGGGAGATGTGGAAATGATACCAGCACACATTCTGTGGCTCAGGCTGCGGTAACAGAGGCCCCTTCACTGCAGAGAGAGGTCAGAGGACGGTGTAGAGGGCAGAGGCATTCCTTGGCATTCTGCAATAAACAGTCAGTGGTGTGCTCTCTGGGGGAGGGGGGAGGGTGGAAAAAGAGTCTATTGTTATTCATAACATGCCCCCTTCAATGACACCCCAGTTTATGTTAATAGGGTAATTTCTGGATAAGCCCTTAGATAACCACCAGATGGGAGCTGGTTGCCAGGGGAACCAACCAAGTGATTAGAGGGTTGGAACTTTCAGCTCCACCCGTCATCTCCCGATCTCTGGGGAGGGGGAGGGGAGGGGGGCTGGGGAGAAAGCCTTTGATTTTTAACATTTACCAGTTTTCATGGTGTACATAGTCCTACCTTGGTTGATTTTAAACTATCAACGTGATATCACTGAAGGTGGAGTTGGGAAGAGACACACAGTAGCACACCATACAGATACAAGAGACGTCAATAAACTCAGAAACGTTGTAAGTTGTAATAATTAGGAACTGATTAAAATAATTTCCTCTTCTTCAATTAGAAACTGAGAAGTACTTATTACCTTTGCTTTTAATATAACTAATTTAATTGTGAGTTTATATAATTTAATTTTTAGTAATGGCTGTGTTGAACAACTAGGTCCAAATATTCCCGAGAACTGGCTCTCATGAGACAGTACAAGCAGGCTCCAGCACATACCTTTAAAAAGGGCATTTTTCTACCTAGAGGGGTGGGATAGGGAGGGTGGGAGGGAGACGCAAGAGGGAGGAGATTGGGGATATATGTATATGTGTAGCTGATTCACTTTTTTGTAAAGCAGAAACTAACACACCATTGTAAAGCAATTATACTCCAATAAAGATGTTAAAAAAAGGGGGCATTTTTCACAACTTTGGACTGTAAATGATAGGATGCCTCAAAAGATAGCTGCACAATACATTTGGGTATCATTCATTCACACTAGCAAAACTCTGTTCACAGATTGCCTTCAAAGGAAAAAAAAAAAGATCTGTAGTATCACTCTTACAGTTCATCCTACAAACTTCCGTTAAACTCTCTCAAGAGCGTTTTATAGGTGTCCTCTGTATTGAGTTCTAGTTGAGAATTTTTCAGTTTCCAATTGGAACATTTCATGTGACTTATTACACCCATGAGTTAACACAGAGATGTTCCCAAAACACCATTTTAGCCTGGTTTCAACTCTTCATTCACAAATTTTTAATGCCTGTCGCTTAACAATTATAATGCCTTGGCTTCAGTTTCATCTCATCTTCCCTCTTCTCAATTTTGGCCAAAGGAAAATTGACAGGCAGCACCCTCACAGCAGTAAGGAGAGTGAAATGAGCTTAAATGGTATAAAGCAAATAATCAGCTTCCTATAACAGAGCTGACCATTAATTTCCTTACCAGGATCCAGAACTTTTACATTTCCAAGAATCCTTTCTCATATTTGCCTGGTGTTATGGATACACGGGACAGAGTGAGGCCACCTGGTGCCTCATTCCAGCTCCCTCATTAACTGCCCCACCCCCACCCCCGGCTACATCACTCAACCTCACTGAGCCTAAGTTTGCAGCCTCTAAAATAAGGGGCTGGTAGATAACGTCTAGATCCCTTTCAACTCTTTTGAAAAAAAGTTTATTCTGGAAAATAAAAATTAATTGGAAATAGGATAAAAAGAAAAAAAAAATCCAGGAAGGAACAACTTGTTGCTCATTTGGGCAGTCCGCCTGGTCTGCCTTTCTTTGATGGATGCCACCATTTTAATTCTCTGAGAGAAATATGCACACCCATCCACCCTCTTTCCTTACAAGGTAACAGCTCATAAAATGCACCTTCCATAAAAATGATTTGCATGACCCATTTCGCGGCTGCTGAGCTGTTTATGATCCTAAAAGTCTGGTTTTCTTCACTGAGTGGGCTTCTGTTTGCGTGACCGTCCCCTCCGGGGTCTCCCTGCGCCACTGCCGTCTGCTGCCAGCCGGGCCGCCTCCACCGTCCACCTGTCCTCAAGCGCTGCTTCCGCCGGCGGGACTCCTACGGTCGCCTTCCTCGCAACCTCCTTCTACACAGTCCCCACGGGGTCTGTAGCCCCAAAGCCAACAGCTTGAGCGCCCGGCTCAGGCAGCAGGGGTGGGGACGTGCCCCACGATGCCTTGGAAAGGAAAAAAAAAAGAGGTCCCCGCAGGATGCTGGCGCCTAGGGTACTTTTAAAAACCAACGTGGCCAGGCAGCAGTCTGGCCCTCACTAGGCTCGGGAGAGGGCATCCCAGGTGTCCCTTAAACGCCTCCGATCTTGCAGGTCCCGGTTACAAAAGTCCCATTGCCGCCCAGGTCCTAGATCCGCGTGATGAGGTTTATCTTGCCGACGGTTCCGGGCCACGGCCTCGGTGTCGAGCGCCTCCTGCCGAGCCTTTAAGTGCGCGAGGCCGGAGAGGCTGGAGTCACTGAGGGCGGCGGGGGGAGGCGCAGCGCGCGGGGCCGAAACGCACAGGCGCAGGGGCGCGGCGAGGAGCGCTCGAGGGCGCGCACTGGGCGGCCCGGCCCGAGGAGCGGCGCGCGGCGCGCACCGTGGGCTGCTGACCTTCCCAGGCCGCTGCAGGACAGAGACGTGTGCCCGCGCCTCAGAAGGGCTGGGAAGAGGGATTCAAGGTAAAAACAAAGAGACAAACGGGAACAAAGTCTTTTACCCGGCAGGCCTGGCGATTCCCACGCTTGGAGGCGGCTTGGACGACGGGCAGTGGGTGGGCGGGGAGGAAGCGGCTTTCTTCTGGGGCCGCTTAACTGCTGTCTTAACCAGGTCTCGTGCTGCTACGGGACTAGCTTTTGTGTTTCAAGAGCCCGCGAAGGTGCTTGCACCCAGGGCAGAGGTAGGAATAACGGGATGAGCGGGGCGTTCGGCACAGAGCTGGGTTGGTGGTGATTCGAAGGGGAAGTTGAGAGTTCCTGCGAGCCGCCATATAATATTGGCTTCCGGAAAGTGGGCCCCTTGGGAGTTCCTTAGCGCTGGAAGAGATCTTAGCAGCCGTCTGGCTGAGCCCTCGCGCTGCTCACAAGAGGATCTAGAAGCCCAGAGAGGTGGACGACTTGCCCGAGGGCTCCACAGCTCGTTTGGGGGCAGAGCTGGGGATAGAACCAGTTGTCAAGAGTCTCGTACCAGGACTCTGCCCACTCTTCCTCAAGGTTGCATCTCCCGTAATTCTTCTGGAGAAAAGAATAGGCGCTTTTTTCTAGGGTAGTGTATGGAGGGATGGGCTGGGGGCGGCGGAAATGCGGTCCATGATTCTTTACATCCTCACCACCAGGGCGAGATTCCACAAACAGAACTAGGAACCCACAAAGGTTCCTTCCGGAGCAGTTACCCAAAGACAGTGTTACCATATAATTTCTCATCAAAAGCAGAATACTCTTAAGAATGGAAGGGAACCCTATTAATAACTTTGCCCAGACAGTCTGATATAAGCCCATACTGCCTGCCGCAAACCAAGACTTAAGGTCACCCCTCCTGAAGCGCATTTTTGGAACTACGGTTTAAAGAGCACACACTTTCTCTCAGCAGGTGATGGGCAAGACATTCTTCAGTATCAGTTACAGCACCTACTGTGTGTGAGTCCATCAAAAACAAACCAGAGGCAGCTAAAGGCTGGGACTCAGGCTTAGTCCCTGGTGCCCTGGGGGATGCCTGTCCCCAGATGCCCACCCATCTCAACATTGTTTTCTGCTTTCCATCCCAACCGCCACTGTCTGCCTTTAGGGCCCCATTACCTATTATTGGGTCTTTCTGCCTCTCCCATCACCACCCTAACCAGGCTATCTTGCTAAGAAAAAAATTCCCTGCAGTGTGCAAAAGTTTACATTTGGTCCTACCGGTCTCTCTAATGTCATCCTCTGCTCCCCAGGCACTCTCATTCGTGGACCCTCAGGTCTGCCAAGCCAAGAACCTGCAGTGCTCAGCTCCTCCAGGCTTCCTCACCCTCCGTGCCTTTCCCCATGCCATTCCCTCTTCCTGGAATGCCTCCCTGGGCCCCATTTCCCATCTGCCTTATGAAATCCTACTTTTCCTGTCAGCGCTGAGCCCAAGCACCACTGCCCAAATACTCTGGAGCTCCCTTATCACGTGGTAAATGTTTGTTTAAAGCTGCTTCTCCCTAATAGATTTATGGGCTTCTTGGGAGCAATTTGGTCATCTTTGTTATTATTCATCACTGCTGTGGAGTAACATTAAGAATGCTGTTTTTCCCTCTCCTTTTCCAAAAAATAATGTGATTTTAAAGTACTAATCCATTTTGCTTTTCCTTTTTTGTGCAGAAATCTTTTAAATTTTATTTTACTGGCATGATTACATATAAGACTTCAGTAGAAGAAAATTTTCACTATTTGAGTTTGTTTTCTGGCCATTTGTCACTTGTCCCGTTTCGTGGTGATCACTGAAAATAATTTTGTTGTATAGAGAAGGAGTGTTAAAAAGCAAAATCCTCTCCAAGTGTCAAATGCACTAGGTCCCTTTGGGCCAAGCATCTCAAGGTCTGGGAGGGGTTTGGGTTTCTTCCTGAATTTCCTTGCTTGGATTTTGGTACAAGACTCCTCATTAGTCTCCCTGGGTGCTTCCTTCATGACCAGCCTCCACCTGCCCTGCAGCTCCAATCTTCCACATGACCTCCAGAGGGATCGTTCTAAAATAAAATCTGATTATGTCAGTTCTCTGCTGAAAAAAGGTCAGTGACCCACTAGATAGACACACCAACCAATGGTCAAGAATGTGACTACCTAGGTTTGATTTCTGGATTCACCACTTGTTAGTTGTGTGACTTTGGTTAAGTCATTTGACCTCTCTGTGCCCTGGCTTCCTTATCTGTAAAATGAGGGTAATAATAGTTATTTTGTAGAGTTGTGAGGATTAAATGAGTTGAGTTCACATTAAGTGCTCATACCAAAGCTTGGCACAGAATAAGCACTTGATATTAATTAATAATAATAGTCACTATTATTCCCATTATTTATGTGAGATAAAATCGTAAGTTCTTAGCGTGCCATACTAGTGCCTCTCGAGCTGACGCCTGTCAAATTCTCCAGTTTCATCTCTCCTTTCCCTCCGATTCTGGTCAGACCTCACCACGTGTTCCCCAACCCTATTCTGTTCCAACCTCTGTGCCTTTGCACCTGTTCTCTTTCCTTCAGACCTTTCCTTCTTTGTCTTCCTGGACCACAGGCAAATATGCCCCCAGGTTTCAATATGACTCAAGACCACTCTTTGCAGTCCCACTGCCCCTGCCCCCATGCTGGCAGAGTGGACCTTACACCTTCTCCTATCATATTTCAGAACATTTCATTGTACTTATTTGTTTCCATGCTTGCCTCCCATCCTAAGCTATTACTGAGGAAAAGAACTGCTTTTTTTTTTTTTTTTTTTGCGGTACGCGGGCCCCTCACTGTTGTGGCCTCTCCCGTTGCGGAGCACAGGCTCTGGACGCGCAGGCTCAGCGGCCATGGCTTATGGGCCCAGCCGCTCCGCGGCATGTGGGATCCTCCCGAACCGGGGCACGAACCCATGTCCCCGGCATCGGCAGGCGGACTCTCAACCTCTGCTCCACCAGGGAGGCCCAAGAACTGCTTTTTGTCTTGGTGTCTCCAGTGCTCGCTACAGTGCTTGGTGCAGAGCAGACATTAATGAATGTTTCTTGGGTGACTGCATGTCCCTCCCAGCTCCTTCAATTCCTTAGCATCTTCCTGTTTCCTAGTAGCATGACTAGACTAATGACACTCAGCAAGGAGGAAATTTAATATTAAAATAACCTGGAAATAGACTCAGAGTTGACTCATGTCTGTAC